TCTATAAAGCAGTATACTTTATATAATAAAATACGATATTTCATAAATATGAAGAGACATTTTGTATAATACATGATATGAAGTTTACAAATATAAACGAGAACATATCTCACGAGTGAGCGCAGAGAATGAGTGAGATATCATGTTCAACACGAGAAATAAATCTGGTATTTCCAAGCACCCATGTATTTTTCTGTTTATTATATAAAGGACATTCTTTCAAAAGCAATAATTTCTACAGAAAAGCAATAATTGAAAAGCGATAATTTTCACATGTGAGATTATCACTTTTTATCAGTGCTCGATATCTCTATAAAGCAGTATACTTTATATAATAAAATACGATATTTCATAAATATGAAGAGACATTTTGTATAATACATGATATGAAGTTTACAAATATAAACGAGAACATATCTCACGAGTGAGCGCAGAGAATGAGTGAGATATCATGTTCAACACGAGAAATAAATCTGGTATTTCCAAGCACCCATGTATTTTTCTGTTTATTATATAAAGGACATTCTTTCAAAAGCAATAATTTCTACAGAAAAGCAATAATTGAAAAGCGATAATTTTCACATGTGAGATTATCACTTTTTATCAGTGCTCGATATCTCTATAAAGCAGTATACTTTATATAATAAAATACGATATTTCATAAATATGAAGAGACATTTTGTATAATACATGATATGAAGTTTACAAATATAAACCGATGTTTGCATTTTGCAAATATAAACCAACATTTATTTCCAGTGTTCTGAAAGTTTCAAAATGTCGCGAGAAGGACACAAATTATTTATTGACAGGGATGCATGCTTGTAAAATATGTAAATATGGCAGCTCGTAGAAATCTACAAAGTTTGTCAGATCTTGTAAAAGCAATTACAAGACTCAGCCAAAGTAATTCAGGAGGGAACGATTAAGACTCGGAAGGTACGAGCGTAGAAGCAACAATTAGATCCCTTTTTCCATCAACAAATGTGGCATCAGGCCAAGAACGTGATCTGAGCACTCAAAACAAAACATGTGTAGTCCATAGCGCTGAACATAGAAGGTCTAGCAACACCCCAGATCACCTAACCCATGTGAACGTTTTGAAAGATTTGTGCCCAATAGAAAATATGGAGGTAAAAACGATCGAAGTCTATTAAAAACAACGAACAACACAATGTTTCAAAACATGTCATTGATTGATGCCTGGCCCAAAGGAGCCTAAATTTCCTCAAGGAACAAAAAGAGAAGCGCTGTTCTCGCATGGTTTTACAACAATGATTGAACTTAACCTAACTATTAATTAAAATTATATAAGAGCCCTATTGGAAGAAAAGTTTGCAAATAATTTTGCAAGTTCACAAAAATGCCCAAAACTTGAATTTGTCAGAGGGTCCACAACAAAATAATCTCCATTGAATCGAAGGGTGACCAGGGCCAGGGTCTATCATGTGATGCAAGGCTTCTAAAACATATTTCAGGCCAAGGTCCTACATACATCAGGGCAAACGAATCAATAACGATATTGCCTGATGCTTATGTTACAATAAAAGATGAAAGTTATAGCAGCGAAGGAAACACAACTGAGAATGAATATACAATCCTCAGAACCACAATGCATCAATTGTCTCCCACAAGCACAAGTACAGCAAATAGATCTATTTTGGATGGCAGCCCCTCTACATGTGAATTCAACCAGAATGAGTCTACCAACACCATTGCCAGACTGGTTGATTCAACACCAACACAATCTTCAATTCAAAGGATCTTAACATGCCCACTTGTTATGAAAAGTTTGGCAGTGAAGAAATTGAAGAACATGCAGATGTTTGTGCTGAGTCAGCCTGGTCTGTTTCAGAACAACAATATGTAAGCCTAATGTCCGATATTGTAAATCTCGATGACCATGTTGACCAGGAACCTGTGGTTCCTGACAATATCAAGACCGAATTGGCAGATGTCACAAGAACCCTGCAGGAAATCTTGGCCCTACGATCAACCGAATTAATGTGCAATGAAAGAGTGTGTTGGATGATTACATACTTAAGCGTATGAGGTGCTGTTGGTTCTCTCCCCAAAACAAGATAAAAGTGGTATTTATGGGGGAACCTATCATTGACGATGGTGGATCAAGGTGTGAATTATTTGCAGGCAAGTACACAATGTGCCCATACGTGCCCTACTTAATTATTTTACTCTATTTTAAGCCCATTTTCCACTGGATGAATCTGTGTGCCACAAATTTGTTTGAAGGGAAAAAATATTTACAATGTGATTAGTCAGCGAAGAAATTTGCCATGGAAAACGTTGGATCAGTTCCACCCAGGGACGCCGGAACTGGGGGGGGGCAGGGGGGGCGGCTGCCCCCCTTGCCTTTTGCTAGGGGGTGGGGCAGAAGTGCCCTTTTAGTTATAAAAAATACGTGATAAATCACATTTACAACGATGCTTTTTGTACGAAAATTATGAGATTCAGACAATTTATAGTTTATATTTGACTTTTGGTATGTCCGGAAAAATTTTTTGACCCCTGAAATGGTACACTGACCGAAATTTTTTTGGTGACCGGGGGGGTAGCCGAAATTTTTCAAGTTAGAAAAAATTTTGCGGAAGATTTTGAAGTTTTGCTTTAGAGAGGTGCCCTTGGTGTGAGTCCGCCCCCCTTTGCCTTATGATTGTTCCGGCGTCCCTGGTTCCACCCTTTTTACTGTTTGCACAATGGAAAATGGGCTTTACTCACAGCTGATCTTTTACAGGTACGATACTGTATATTAGCCAAAATTTAAAGGGTAAGTCAGAGTTCAGAACAACTTAGGTTGATATGAAAGATCATATAATGCTTACCTCTCACACAAAGTCCCATATGTCCAAGTTATAACCAAGTCGAGAAATAAAGCGATAAATGTGCTAAAATTTACGTATAACGCAGCCGCCATTTTGTACATCAAAGTGAAGCTGCAATCACAGAGCGGTTTTACCTTGTGACGTCATTAGTACTTTAATTTTGACGGCTTTAGTACTTTAATTTTCTGATATACATGTAAACAAAGACGAAATAGTATTCATAAATTTAAGAGAAATACTGTATCAAGAGAAATGGATATTGATTACTCAAACAAATCTTTGAGTGATGGTTTAGGAAGCAGTGGATCGAGTTATAGCAAAGACATGAACGTCGAAAGAGACATAAACATGATTCAACCTTATGTGTTTGAACCAGTTGAAACCGACTCAAGCGGTGACCATGAAGATTTGGAAGAAATTGCTTTGGAATCTTCGTCAAGTTCTGACAAAACCACCAGACTTCAGGACACAAACTGGTAATTATTTACTAAAATTTGCTTCTATTATTTATTTTGTAGATATGTAGGTTAAGCTTTTTCAGCAACATGCACAACTAGGGTTATTAGTGCTTTAATTGTTTGTACATTATTATGGGTGGCATTATTATACATTATTATGTTTGTACTTATATTAAATTATTATAATTTTCAATGAATCAAACATGACTGAAAATCATAAATTCAACTTTAGCCCAAATTAACTTGGTTTAACCCAAATTAACTTATGATTAAATTGGAACTTGGCATTATGTAGGTGCCTTTCATGGCGAACAATTTCGTACAGTCAGTGGAATGCACCGCAGGCACGAAAATTATAGCGACATGTACCGCAGGCGCGGAATCCAATATGGCGGAAAGATTATCTTCCCGGGATCGTCCACGTACAGGTTATTATAAACAATTACACAACTTAACAACAGACATACTTTACAAAACAAAGACAGAGAAAAGAAGAAAACCTCCAGAAGACATTTTTTATGAAGTTGAGAGGATTATCTCACGACGTGTGATAAATAGAACGGTAAAGACAAGTATTAGTATTTTTATAATTTTAGGTCACAAATTTACATGATATTAACATGCAGTGGGTGAATATATTTGTCTTCCTTTTATCTTACAGAACAAATATTTAATAAAATGGAAAAATTACAGTCTGTTTAATTGCTCTTAATTGTTCTTGGGAAGACGAGGAAGATCTTACTCCAGACCTCATCAGGTATAAAATGGTGACCCTGCCCATTTATCAATATCATATGCAATTTTTATAGTGATATCTCGTGTTTGGGCATTTATTCCCTGATAAATATTGTCATTGCTCATTAGCTCAAAATTTCATGTTGGTGCGATGCTTTTTACTTGGTTAACAGTTCACAAAAAGTGATATTCACAACCCCCTGGAAATAATATGTGACGTTTTGCTTGGCCTGTTTTAAAGTCAGGGCAATTACTGAGTTGACAATATTTGTGTGAATAGTTAGCAAAATTTAAAGAAGGGGAAAAGTTCGCTGACATTAATCTTAAGCAATATTTAAATCATTTCACAAAAAGCTTTAGAATTAAAATTGAACTTTAATTAAACCATTTTTAATTTGTTCAGGACATATGACAGACCCCCTGTTAACACCGAAAGACTACATGCAAATCTGGATACATTGCTGCAGGCAATTGTGGTAAGACTGAAGAGCAAAGCTAGACCACCATCTAGCGTTTCTTTCCACCATGACTGCTATCGACACTGTTTTTACAGCAAAGGAAGGCTTTCCCAAGATGGCAAATCAGTGTTCTTGGATAGGCATGATTTTGGGGACTTCAATTTTTTTACTGGATGGGATCATTGTCTGGATACGAATGGTGATGGAGTTATCATAAAATACCCGATCAAGATCCGTTCCCTTTTATCCTGGTCACCCAAAGTCTCAGTGATACAGAATGGCATTCTAACGCCTGCGCCAAGAATGCCTCAAGAAAAACTGTTAGTTGACTTTATACGGCAACCATTTTCGGTTCTTTCAACATAGTTTCCATAGCTGTATATTTTGAATGTAACTTTAACCCATTAATGCGCATTACGCCCTGATGTCCCTACTTTATTATTTTATTCTGTCTAATACCAGACGATGTTACTCGTCAAGGGGAGAGTGCTGACGCTCAATGGGTTAAAGTTAAAAAATCTAAAATATAAACCAGTTTTGCAATCATGCACACACATCAATGTGAGCGATCTTTGGTGGTCCCTCCAAAACAAACATGGTGTTTTAGCCTGCCGATGATTTCCCAAATGAATGATTGTAAAACTGGTCTATAAGAAAATGCAATTATTTGTATAAATAGTTACATTTATTGTTTTTGTACTAAACGTTTACTTATGTATGTGATGGACCATGCCCCTGAAAACATCACTCAGGTGGCTAAGGATATATTCACTTTTCCTCTCAATGTAAAAATAGGCTTAAAGCAAGTATTTGTGGCTAGTTAAAAATAATGAGCAAATGAATACATGCAGTGTGTTGTTTTAATTTAGGATCAAGTAAGCTGTAAGCCATTTTCTGCCATGACTGGAGAAAAGTAGCTCAAGTATAAAGTCAATGCAAAACCCTGTACTCTGGACAATAGCACATAATTTAACTTTCAAGAGTTTTAATGATCTTATTAAATATCCTAACACTAGAGATAAAAGAACTCAAATGAGAAATAATTTGATCTACCAGCTGATCATAGTGTTATCAAACAATGTTAAATTATAGATGTTAACATGTCAACTAACTCTTGTTTTGACTTTTTTGAAATCCCTTTTATCCCCTTCTGTTTCAGTTGGTGCTTTAGCTGAGGAACGGTCATCTTTGCAATGTTGACAGGAGGGGTTTGTATGGGGCCACTTGTTGACGGGTTGCAAGTGTTTTCTCCTATATCCTGTGCCCTGTATTGTTGAGCAGGTCCACAATGTTTTTTCTTTATCTCATTATTCCAGTACTCTAAATTTCTTTTATTGTATTCTCGTGGTTCTCGCTCTCTGTTTTTGAAGAGCCACTGTCTTGATTCAAAACGAAGCACGTCTCCTGTTGAATCCCACTTATTTGACTTCTGTAGAACTATAGAGCGAGCAACGTCATTTTTCTTGACACCCTGTCCTGTGAACATCTTGACTGCAGAATATTTTTCAAAAAACCAAGGAATATGGACTGCCATTATAGGAATGTATGGCATAACACGCATTCGCTCATATCCCTCCCTTTTGCCGCTCAATGCTACAAAAGAATTTACCCACTCCTTTGCCATTTTCCATAATTCCATTGCACTTGACTTGGGTTCCCAATTACTCACAACTGTATAAACACTTTGAAAATCTTTCCACAATTTAATAACTGCTTCAGCAGTTTCAGGCTTTAAGAACTCCATCATCTTGTCCGGTAAGTAGTTCATCAACTTTTTTTTATCATTCCCCATTAGGCTAGTCCAGTCATACTTCCCACTCTTTTTACCGCATTTTTTTTCTCCCATACTTGGAATGATACACCACAAGATTGTATGGTGTTAATTAATTTTTCCAGATGAACATTTTTAGCTCCACTTCTCTTCTCAAATCCTTCATCCTTATCCCATTCCATTGCTTCAGTTATTAAATTTGTCATTAAAATGTCGGTTACTCTCAATAACAAATGGAGTTCATCGACTATGACATGATCCAGTTCAATATTTAATAATGGGTCTTTAATGCATCCATAATTATTGTTAGAATCTTGCAGCAGATCTCTGATTTGTTGCAATGTTCTGGCCATGGGGGGTATGTTGAAGTATTTGTAATCATGATCTGTTTTCCATCTGTCGAGTTTGTGTACTTTGCACCACGCACATGCATAATTAGCTGAAGCAGCATTGATCAATATGTATTTATAATCACCCCCAAGGAAAAATTCAGTTTTTATTTCTTGTGTGCCAGTATTAATAGTTCCCTCTGAAATCATTCCATTTATTTCACTAAATATTTCCCCAAATGACTCTTTCAGAGTACTGTACTCTTCTTTGCCATTTACAACTGCAATTGTTCAATTCCCTTCTGCTGACATTACTTCTTGACCAGTTTGTAAGATGGAGAATGAAAGCAATATAAAGCTTGCATTTCGGGTCATTGTCGCCCCGTCACCACTTATCTTGATTTGAATGTTTTCTTTGGCTGGATCAAAAGTAGGATTTTCTTTGATATAATCAAGAATATGATCCTTTATTACATCTCTGAGAGAATGAACTTTAGACCCAGGAAGTTTTCCTGGGAGAGGATCAATACGGCAGAGCTTGTTCAGGTCATTTCTACATTGTTGTATAAGATAGGACTTTGGCAAGCCATTTGTGATCATGGTGAATTCATGGTAAAATGCATCACCGACACAAAATTTATCGAGAACAAACAGGATTTCTTCAATCTGTGTTTTTTGTTGTTCGGTCATATTATATCGGTTGTTCTTCTCACCAGGCTCAGAATTAGCAGTTGGGTCTTGGGTTTCTTTAGTGCCAGCTTCCAAAATAACTGTATGTTTTTTACCTGTATCTGATTCCTTTACCAGTATGCTCTCAACATCCAAACCAAAATGCTTACTGAACCAGAGGGCAGATTCAGCTCTTGATATAAATGTTTTCAAGATCCTGCCCTTGTTCTGACTTGACGAGAGATGCTTTCCCTTGTACTGACACTGAATCTGAGCTACTTTTTCTATATCAGCTATGTAATTCAATAATTGTTGGTTTTCATTTTGTAAGTGATTAATCACTCTCTCTCTCTTTGATTTATGACTTCTAGCATTTCATTGTACAAATTTTGCTTTTCATCTTCAAGATTTTGATACTTACTTCTCCATTCTTCTGACTCACTTTTGAGTTGATTAATTTCCTTTTGATACTCTTCTTGTGACTTTGTTTGACCTGAGAACACATGAAATTTCCTGACTCTGGAATCCAGTTCTTTACGCTTCCTTCCTTTTGTTTTCTTGTATAACTGAGCAACTGATGCAGAAATTTTCCATAAATTGTCGTTTATTTGGCTTCTTATTTCTTGATCATCAGTAAACACGAAGATTGAACCAGGTATAGATAGTTCAAGAAGAGCGATATAATCAAGAGCAATCTGACTATCGACAGTCTTTCCATCAAGACCACCGCTGTAAAGTAGTCTGTCCCATTCTTTTAGTAAGGGATACGGAATTTCCAGGGCAAAAATTGGTTTATTTTCTCGTCTTTTGCCAGCATAACTTAAATCCGGATGACCAAGCTGCACTTTCCATTTGAATTGTCTTATGCAATGCCGGAAATCATCTGACATTTTTGCATAACTCTAGTATATTCATGAGTATTATTACCTTATTAATCGTGATAAAGACTCCTAGAAATACCTCTATTTCCCTCGGTGTACCTTGTTTTCATCGGAAACCCCGTATAAACTTGGTAACCATGGTTTCAATGCTTCAAAATTAAAGATGGCGGACACATTTCTCAAAAGTTTGATTGAATTTAGCAATGGATTTGCTTCAAAATTTGATACTTGTTTTTCCATTTTCGCGGACTATGGCGCACTGGGAAAAGGCTTTTCTTGGTCTAATTCTTGCTGATTTTAAAAGAAATTTGGAAGTGGTTTAAGCGAAATATTTCAGACTGTATATGGCACGAAGTGAATAAAGGATATTTACACAGTGAAATTGAACTTGTGAGAACGACAAAGTTTCAATCTTTCTGTCTACTTTCTAACATTTAGTTATGACTTTTTGGCTTTGGAAGGGTGATTAGTATGGCCGCGAATGCAATTTATACAAGATTTTTGAACGGATTTGTGGAACCAGTTTCAAGACGAATTGGGCACTCGAACGAAGACTATATCTGAAGAAAAAGCAAATCAAATATCACAGGAACTTGTGAGAACTCATTATCTACATTCAAACAATATTTATTAATGAAAAACTCCTCAGGTAAGCTCTTTTCCTATGATTTTCGAATCTTTTTTTTTTGTAATGCGCATGCTCGTCATTGCTCTGCGCCATACTGTACGAAATTGTTCGCCATGTGTACTCACTGCCAAATAATGGATAGGGAAGAGGAAAGTATTTGCTGCCAAGAGATCCCAACTTGTGTTTCTATAAACCAAGAAGCAGCACAAATTGAGGAGAGACCCATCCCAGAATGTATTACTGATAACCCTGCATTTCAGTATTTATGTCTGAATTATTGGGTCTTGCGAGTTGCTTGGAGCGATTATAGACAACATACACTATGGCATAAAGGCACATGAAGGGCCTGAGCACAAAAAACGAAGACATGATGTTGCTTACAGGCAGTTTGTTAGGTGGTGTTGGATATATTAGGCAAATAGATAAGGGTCCCCTTGCCATCTTGTGCAGTTAGTTGTATTCGAGCACACTTCCCACCACCAGGTTTAGAAGAGGACTTTGTTTTTGAGGGTTTTAAATTTGCAGATGAGTAATTAAATATGTGATAGGGGTTTTCATTTCTTACTTTCTATATATTGTTGTAATATTGCTATTTGACTATATTTTTAACATTATTTTCAACCTACAGTAATCTGCTTGTTTTGTTTTGTCAAATAATAATTTCTAATTACAACTATAATACATTATGTAATATTTACAACTATCTTGTTCCCCTCCATTTAAAAGTGTTATTGTTTTAACTATTTAAGAACAAAGAGTCTGCTTCATTCTTTGGGAAACTTTATCCAATTAGTTGTCTCCTTATTTTAGGCATTGGGTCTAGATAATCAATCTAGTTTAATTAAAACAATCACAGTTCGCAACAATTCTCCTTATAATGTTAACTATTCTGGCATTAGATAGAGTAAGAGTAAAATATCAAAGTAGGGTGCATTATGGCTAAATGGTTTCACCAGAGACATGAGCAGGAAGTCCGGTTAACCCACTGACACCCAATGCTCCCCATTTAATAAAATTGCCTTGTATTAGACAAAGTAAAATAACAAAGTAGAGCACATGCCAGCTAAATGGGTTTACAAGAGAATATGCATATAAAAATGCTGTGCTGAGTGGTTATATTACTACCTTAACTAGAAAATACATGCATGCAAGAAATTTATCAATCATCAAATAACAAAGTAGAGCACATGCCAGCTAAATGGGTTTACAAGAGAATATGCATATAAAAATGCTGTGCTGAGTGGTTATATTACTACCTTAACTAGAAAATACATGCATGCAAGAAATTTATCAATCATCAAATAAAGAAATGTTTGCTATTTTGCTGTCGTCATGCAGTCGTTATAATGCAGACTTTAGATTGGACCAATCACAGTGTTCGCTATTCATGACAGTCCGCCATATTTTTGAGATCAGTGAGGATGACCACCCGCAGTTGGTGACCCATGCCCGCGATATTTGATGAACTTTAGGCTTCGCTAATGCTTTCGTTTCCCCGGGTGTACATAGCCGGGGGGAATTAGTACCCTTGCACGGCGCTTCGCGCCGTCGGCTCGGGGAAAATAAGCAGAAACTCAACGTTTCAAGCGAAGGCCCTTCGTCAAGAGTTATATAGTCTGCTTAACACATTAATGCTTCTCCTACACTTTTCTGTGATTTGGTTCACAAAATCTCACCTTGATTATTAATAACTGTCGGCACCCGGTAGAAAGAAAGATCTTCACGTTCAGATTTGTCATTTGAACAGTTTAAAACTACACAAAAAGCCGGCATATTGAAGAATATTTCAAATAGATTTGGCACAGCTATAAGTAAACACTAGTAAGTTCCTCGCATGTGACGCGTTTTACTCCACCAACATGACGGACACTAAATTCTAGTGACGTCACAGCGGTTCACGTGAAAAAACATTATTGTCGAAAATCAAATGAAATCTCAGTTAAAAGCGGCGAATATATACGAACACGATACTGTATTAAATCAACAAAGTCAACAGCAACGAATATCGAAAGCGAAGCGTACAGAATAAACACGATAGGTTCTCAATCAGCGACACAGGACTCGGAATTACAAGCTTCATCGAACCCAGGTACGTCAAATATTACTGAACAAGTGTCTATTAATTCACAAGGGAACAATTCATTAACCGAACAGTCTCCTTCGCCAGTTTATCATAATAATACATCGAATCAAATTACAATCGCCCAAAGTTACCAAAGCTTGTGTTGCCAAAGTTTAAGGGAGATATAACGAATTATCATACTTTTTGGGACACTTTTGAAAGTGCAGTGCATACAAACCCAGAATTATTGAAGATAGACAAATTCAACTATTTAAACTCGTTATTAGAAGGGCGTGCACTTCGTGCAGTGCAAGGTCTGTGTCAGGTGACAATTATCAAGAAGCTATAGAAATTTTACAACAACGTTTCGGCAAATCCCAACAAATCATATCTGCCCACATGGATGAATTAATGAAAATTCCCGCATGTACTGTGGACAAACCTTCGCAGTTGAGATATATTTACGATAAAATTAGTGTACACGTCAGAGGTCTGGCTTCCTTGGGTGTTAATTCGAAGCAATACGGAAGCCTGTTGATTCCCGTTATTATGGCAGAACTACCCCAAGAAGTTAGAGTTCAAATTGCATGTAAAACCACAAAGGAAATTTGGGACATATCTGACATTTTAGATGTCATATTGAAAGAAGTGGAAGCACGAGAGATAGGGGAAATGTTAAGATTAATAGTGATAGTAGAAAACCGCCACCCAACAAATTTCCAACAACTGGCGCTGCTTCATTAGTAGCTCAAGAAAGCTGACCCCAATCAAAATTCTGCCGTGGTGCATACTGCAATGATTTGCACTTCTCAGCCTCATGCCAAAGGGTAGTAGACATAAACACGTGTAAACAAATTCTCAGGCGAGATAATAGATGTTTCGTATGCTTGGGTAAAAATCACAGAGCTAATCAGTGTGAACCTAGTAAAAGTTGTTGCCGTTGTAGTGGAAAACACCACCAATCGATTTGCCTGGTATTTAAGACCCCTACCAACCCACCCAAGAGCCCACCAACTGAACCCAAATGCAAACTTGGTCTAGTTCCGTTAAAAAGGGAAACGCTCAATCTAAATACATTTGGCGATAAACGGTTCTCTAAACAGCAATGCGATTTAGTTCAAGTGTCCTTATAGGGCAAGCGTTCGATACTAAGGTCCTTCCTTTACAACCTTATGTTGAATAAAATACAACAAGAATTGGAAGCAATATATCCAAAATCGTCCAGGAAATAAGAGAACTGACCAATAAAGTGAATTGGAAACATTGTCCTGGTCATTTGAATCCAGCTGACCTGCCGTCTTGCAGATGTTCCGGACACAATCTTGTGGGTAACAACAAGTGGTTGAATGGTCCTGATTTCCTATGGACCTACCAAGGTCCTGATTTCCTATGCAACTACCCAAGGACCAAATGGCCAACCGATCCTCAATCGACCCAACATGATGAATTGGCTAATACTGAGATTATAAAAAAAACCTTAGTTACCCACTCCTTAACAAGCCATTGAAAATGTACCGATGCCTGTATCTATTTAGAGAAGATTATCAACGTTGAGAAATTTAGTTTGAAAGAAAGAGTACTACGTATTACAGCCAGAGTCCTACGCTTTGTTAAGAAAGCTCGAAAGCAGAGTGGTCCATTTGCAACAGAATGAAGAGCTGAAGAATTACACAAAGCAGAAAAATTGTGGGTCCAATCCATTCAGAACGATTCCTTTGCTGAAGAATTATCGTGTTTGAAGAATGGACAATCGAATAAGTTGGTTAAGCAACTTCGACTTTTTCTCGATCAGGACAGTATTATTAGATGTGAAGGTAGAATACCCAACTCTAACATTTCAGACAGTGCGGAATCACCAATTCTCATGCCCCTGAAACGTAGATTCACAGAATTTATCATTTGAGAGTGCCACGAAAGGGTTTGTCACGACGGTATACGAGAGACTTTGAATGGTGTTTGCGAAAGGTTTTGGGTTCCGCGTGGCCGAGAAGCGGTCAAACGAATTGTTAGGAGATGCATAACATGTACGAAAATAGAAGGCAAGCCATTCACTACCCCAATGGAACCACAACTACCGCATGGTCGAGTTAGCGATGACCCTCCCTTTACTAACTCTGGGATTGACTTTGCCGGTCTGATTTATATAACAGCCGATAGTGGAACACACAAGTCATACATTTGTCTATTCACTTGCCAAAGTACTAGGGCCATTCATTTGGAACTTGTTACTGATTTATCTACCGAATCATTTCTTCAGGCCTTTCGAAGATTTGCGTCACGAAGAGGCCTCCCAACGCTCCTAACTGACAACGCTAAAAC